TTTATTATATTATACATCTTTATATTCAACTGCATGTTCTATCATATTAAATGTTGAATTCTATTTGGTTTTAACATCAATAATTAATTCTTTTTTAGAAAGATTATTAACGTCACATTGTTTTGAAAATTTTTCTTGTTTTTGAAGTGATACTCTAATTTTTACAATTAATTTACTTACTAAATAAAAAAAATTAATAAGTAAAAATAAAAAAAATAAGACCTATGGGTCCATAGTGCAGTGGTTAGCATTTTACAGGTCAAATTACAAGATACCGGTTCAACTCCATGTAAAGGCAGTTGAACAAAACCACATGGTATCTGGTACCATAACCTGTTATGTACTGTTTCTCATAGGAAGCCATTCCACACGCTGATCCAGTGGGCGTTAAGATTGTGATTTCCAGTTAAGGTGCTATGGCGTGTTGATCATCTGGTTGGTGTTATGATGATCAATGTAATGTTTGGTGCATCCCCTAGGTTCAAACAGGACATTTCCCTCCCCTATAGTCCACGAGACTATAAAAGAAAGTTTGCTAACCCAATTAGGCAACTTTGAAGAGGATCACTCTACTGGTAAGTAGCTCTCGAACTGTATAAGGACAATGTGATGAGACAGGGTATGTAAAAGTTGCGTCTTGTTTGATATTTATACTCCTAGGCTTGGCAGCCTACGCCAACCGGCCCGTAACGGAATGTCTACTAGGAAATTAAGAGTTATTCCTTAAGAAGTCATGCCCCAATTGGTTATATGGCCCCTAGATTTGGTAGTGTCCAACCGGCGGCAAACCGGAGCATTTGCTAGGGAGTACATACCTGCATCAATCGGTCCGAGCTGTAGCTGGGATCAGGTGGTGGTAGGTGAGACATGATAAGAACCCTAATAACAGTGGCAAGTAACAAAAATGCCCTTCAAATAGATCACACCTGGATTGCAAACCTACCTCCGGGGTGTTAGTTGGTAGTCAGATTAGAATTAAAGGCAGTGCTAGAGTTAAAATAGCTAATATAGTTAGTCAGACTCTTCATGTAATGATTGTAACTTCAATGCTAAGTTAATAAAGTTCGCATGTAATGCATTTTGCCTTTAAAAAAAAAAAAAAAAAAAATTAATAATACTAAAATTAAAAAAAACAAAAATATTAATTTTACAAATCTTAAAATAATAATATAAAAAGGTTACATTTTATTAAGTTCAAATAAAATTTTAATTTCAAAATAAATAAATAAAAAAAAAGAGTAATTGGAATTATAAAAAAATAATTTAAATTTTATTTAAATAAATCATATTAATAAACTGTAAATAATAAACTTTAATTTAAAACTTTATAAATAAATAGATATTGAAAAAAACAATTTTTATTTTTAAAGTTATATTTAAAAATATTAATTTAAAACAATGTTTAAAACAATATAATATATTATTTTTTTTTACAAAAATTTAATAAACAATATATTTTATTTAACTATAAAAAAAAATTTAATTAGATTAAAAAATTTAAAACTAATTAATTTGAATTTTATAGAATTTAAATTTTTAGTTTTATATTTAAATTAATAAATAGTTGACAAATCAAAAGTTTAAACCAATATATTTTTATTTAATTATTTATATAAATAAGTATTTTAAATAAAAAAATTTTTTTATCATGTATGTTAATTATAAAGAGTTATATATTTTAAAATAATAATTATTTAACAAGAACCAGAAATTAAATAAATTTGCTTGTCAAAAATAAATAAATAAATAATAAACTTTAAAATTTTTTATTAATAAAAAAAAACAAATTATTATTGTTACGTATATTAATTATATAGATTCAATAAATAAATAAATATTCTTTTTTTAAAAATTTTTGAATAAATGTAAAATCATTTTTTAATTAAAATTAACAATTAACAATTATATTATTAATATGTTAAACAAATAATAGTATTTTTGATATTAAATTAAAAAAATCATATTATTGATTAATTGATTAGTTAATTGGTTGTTAACAAAGAACTAATTCGATTATTCAACTATCTATTAATCGAATTAATAACAATATATTAAATTATTTTAAAAATTATTTTTACAAATTATATATTGTATATTTATTTAAGAGTAAAAAACATTAAATTTGTTTTTTAATTAATCATAGGGCTATTGAAACGATTAATACCTTGAAATGGTCATTTATTTAAACTCAAATTTCTTACCACTTTTTCAATATAACACTTCATTCATTTATTGATTATTGCGACCAAACACCGATTCTAACACATCAAGACATTGATAGTAGAATTTGGCGCAATAAATTGATAAAAACTTCCGCAAAGTTTGTCTGATGCATTAATCGGTAATTAATTCGCAGATTTTCTGCTGTCTCAATTTAACAAGTCGGTGTTTAATTGAATTAAGGTTATTGATGTTTGGAAAACGTAAATAAATTTCACTTTCGATCCTGCGTTAAGTGCTAATTTGTTTATCCTATTTTTAAATAGAGGTATAAGTTCCGTGAAAATTATAACGAACCCGAAAATGTTAACATGAGGAATGAAACAGGAAAAAAATGTCAGGCAACTTTTGTTCTTTTAGATGTCTTAATGCTTATTGATTGACCATTAAAAAAAGAAAACATTAGTTATAACAGAAATGCAAGAATTAATTTGTCGATGCAGTAAGTGCATGTATCCGTTCTACTCGAAACGTTCACCACAGATTTTGTATCATGAAAAGTCGATCATTGCTCAACATGATACTCAAACAAATGCCTTTAAATAACATCCGATTTCCGCATTCCTATTTGGGATAAAAAGAATTTTGTGTTTGATAATAGTGTAATGTGCTATCAATGGCGTACATCAAATATAGTCGATGATATATAATTGCAATACTTCTTTCTTGCTCGTTTTTTTACCTTTTCTCACTCATATCTTTCATTGATATAGACCAACATAGTTTCATGCTGGTACATGACTTTGCAATAATATAAAGTTTGCTATCATAAATTATACCCCAATCCAAGAAATCATACAAAATGTCACAAATCTCAACGTCAAAGTTTTTACTTACATTGATAGCGTTTGTTGCGTCTTATGTGCAGCTCTTCTCACCATTCGCTGCTGCTGTCGCTCTTAACGCCAATAGTGATTCCTCCTCTCCATCGTCATCACCATCTCCATCACCATCTTCGGCGAGTCAACCGGCACCACCATTACCTGGTACAACATTTGGAATATTTCCACTTGGTTTGGTCTTATTTAGCGGTATAACTTTCGTTGGTGTCGCAGTGTACTTTTTCTCTATTTATGATAAAAGCAAATGGAGAAAACAGTATCGTCGTCGACAAGAAAGTCAAAAATTGGTGACTAATTTTAGAGATGTTTAATCCATTATTCTTCAAATTATATTTCTTGTGAATTGGCAAACATTCTTTATTTAAAGTGTATTTATTTCTTTCTTTCATTTGCAACAAGTTATCGGGATATAACTTATGTTTATAGCAAAAAAAATTTTTTTATAGTTAGAGTTTTCAATTTTTTAAACTGTAGAAAAGACATCAATAAACAAGATATTCAAACTTCTATGTTTCTTCAAATATGCGTTGCGATATCGTTACTATTTTACAATACAAGATTGAACGCTAGTTTAAAGCATCTGTAGATGAAGGCTAATGTGATGCAATATTGAGAACGATGTACACATTCATGCCGTAATCAATCCATTTTGGAATTTCTTCTACAGACAGGAGTTATTCCTATAAATAGCAGTAATTGAGTGGGAGTAATGATTTTAACTCGATTAGCTATAACCATTTGTTATTTCATATACCCTCTTTGTTCTGGTTTGAAACACAGATTTGCCTATTTTACAAAAAAGTGGTGGTGGATACTTTAACAAGGAGGTACTATTTGCCGAAAATTACGGTAATTATTTTTTCAACAATATGACATAAAATTAATAAAGTATTATATATTGTATATACGCATTAATTTATTTATTAATAAATAATTAAAATAAAATATTATAATTTTTATTAGTTGCAAAATTTCAACAATCAATTTTTAATTACTATGTAATTACTATTTATTTAATTTAAAATGGTAAATATATTATATTAATAAAGTAAAAATTAATTGATTTCTTTTTTTTATAATTGGATTATATTTTTGTTTCTATAATATGTTATCTAATCTATATTTCAAAATACTATCAAAGCTGGTTATAGTAACATTGTTTAAAGTAACATTATAATAAAAATTGAATATATAAATTTAAATTAATAAACACCAAGAAACAATATCACTCTCAGATATAACAAACTAAAAACACACTATTTAGCACTAACTTATCAATTTATAGATCATAAAGCAAGCAACTTCAGTTTATCTTCTTCTTGTAAAAGAGGAAGGTAAAAACCAAGCTTCCTGATTCACAGTAAGGTCTCAGGAAGCCAGCATCCCTACCACCACTATAGCCAGTTGTGTGTCAGGTTAAACACCTTCTCTAGACACTATAGAAACTCAAGGAAGGCCAGATTTCATCTGATAAATCAAACAACCTTGTCACCTTTCTTGAGTTAGAAGGACGCCAGACTTCCTATCATCTATATAGAAATAAGGGAAAAAACCTTATCGTACATATATCAATCCATAAAAACCAGAACCAGCTTGCCCCCTCCAAAATCCGTGTTTCACGAACACATCTCTTGAAAAGTTAATCCCAACAATAACAAGTAAACAGGCTCGCACGCGTCAAGTAAACAAAGTCGGCACGCGTCAAATCCAACCATAAAAACAACAAAACATATTTACAAAACATATCCATAAAATGCGTCCACATCAAAACATCAGTAACAATTTGTGCCAACACACACTATAACAAACACATCTACATCGCAACGCGTCTTTACCAAAACACTTTATTAATCAAATTTCACCAGATATCATATCTACAAACACACGTGACAAATCAAATATCACAACAAGAAACTAACACAACTACACTATGACCAATCATGCTTCATCCAAGCTTCCCATCATAACATCTTTTTTGTCAACCATCCAAATCACCCAGCATACCACACCAACAACATCAATGACCTCAGCATTCAACAACACATCGCATATACCATCCCCAGCACTCCTGGACATAGTACTAATAGAGAGAAGCAAACAGCGAGTGTCGATCATATATCAAGACTCCCA